ATTATTTACCCTTTATTACACAATTTAGCAGTAATAATGAAGTCCATGTATTGAAATCCTGAATCTGTTTTAAACTGGTGGAGTCGTGATTCTGAAATGCAGATTTTTATAAGGTCATGACCCTGATTTGTCAGAGGGAAAAAGAAGCATTCAGAGTTCATGCTGAACCCGCCTGGCCTGGCCAGAGTGGCACCATCGAAGAGCACAGATTATAAATAGAGGACAGTGAGTGAACCTTTCACTCATATCTGACTGTCAGCCACAAATGACGCCATGGGAGCAGAAATATGTTTAACAGGCTGTGTTGTTTTTTTTCTAAATGGGGCCTTAGTGCCACATAATTCTTCCTGGAATTTTTGAAACCCACATGATGTCCTTAGAAAGCAAAGCAAGGATTCCAAGATGACATTTCTTTATTTATTTCAAATTGCTCTAAACATTTCCAGGAATGTTCTTTGTATTTCTTGAATGTGTTGTACATTTAAATGTAATTTCTCAGACTAAATCAGAGAAGGCCAAATAGCAATATTTGGTAACATTAAGAATTTGAATTGGTAGGTTGCTTAAAAAAAAAAAAAGCTTGCTCGCATACCATGTAGCCGGCTTTAGACATCACCATGACTTGGCTGTTTTGAGCAGAGTTCAGATTCAGATGCTTACAGTCTGTCACTCATTTTCTAAACAGAGTAAGCCAGAATTTTTCATTTTTACAGAATCATGATAATTATATCTTCTGCATCTTAGTTCCAGAGCAGATTTGGAATCCTATGCTTTATTGTGATTCCAATTTTTTATTTAAAAAATGGGCAAATTATTGTTTATGCATTACTGCTTCTGATACAGGACCTATTAAAAGGAAAGAAAAAAGGAAAAGAGAAGAAACTGATTTCATAGAATTATAGAATTGGAAGAGACATCACACTGTTGACTCATGTTCAGCTTGTGATCTATTAAGGCTCTTAATCCCTTTGACTTGCACTGCTTTCACCCATCCTATATCTGTGTATAGTACTGTACATTCCTCCTTGCTGAATTTCATTTTATTAGTTCTGGCCCCACTTTCTAATCTGTTAAGGTCATTTTGGATTTTCATCCTCTCCTCTGGGCTATTAGCTATCCCTTTCAATTTGATGTCATCTGTAAATTTGATAAAATCCTTGTATTCCTTTGTCCAAGTCATTCATAAAGATGTTGAACAGCACTGGGCCAAGGACAGAACCCTGGGCCTCCCACTTCTCTCCAGAATGAGGAGGAGCCATTGGTGAGCACCCCTTTGGGTTTGGCAAATCAAATCTAAATAGGCATCAGTTGAATTGGAGTGTGCAGGGCTAAAGCATACAATTACAATTTTTATCAAATTGTTTATTAACAGCTTTGTCTGCTGGTAAATGCAGTATAATTCTTTTCCATCTGCACTACAGCCAGTTTCTAAAGTATAAATAAGTCTCTATCACTAGACATATCATAACCCACATTTGCAAATGCCCAAAGAGAATGTCTTGTATCCATAATTTTCAAATTGGAATGGAAGAAGGTCAAGAATATAAACAGCTAAAGGGAGGGGATTAAAAAATAAATTTGTCAATTCCCCAATTTTTTAGTAATGACTATTTAAAGCTCCTTTTATCTTTATGATAAATGTTCTTCTGTATGTAAGATGGTAGACATTTTCATATAAATTTTATTACCTCCTACAGCCAATATATGATTCATCCTAATGCTGTAAGGATGAGGTCTTGGGCAGAAAGGGCCTCATACCATGAACCTAGAAACTACAGGTTGGATTCAGATTATGTCTTCCATTCATGGGCTTAAAAGTAAGGGTTTTATCTATCTGATGTGCTATCCTATGTCTTTTAACCGGAGATGCTAGATGCTGACTCTTGCAAAAATGAATACATTAATGGAATTTATAATTCTATTAGTACACTTTGTAAAATGTGCACAAATTTATGTGCAGGGCCCAAGGTTGCAACTTGATGTAGAACTAGTTTAGGATGAGAATGGTTGTTATTCTAACCATTATGGAGAAAATCACAATGACTGAATTTTCAGATCCCTACATACCAATCTCCTATATCATATCTTCTTCCAGACTTCAAAATGCTCACATTTTTGTACAACAGATCAAAAAATCTCTATGCTGGTTGGGCTTTTATGGTCAAATTTACTTAAAAATCCAATAACCACCTTTTTAATGCTGGCATCAGCTTCAGTGAACTTTGCAGACATGATGTACTGCTAAGCTATGTCAATTTAAAATAAGTTTGTAGGCATAGTGTTCAAGAGTCATTTTTCTATCAGCACTATTCTAAAGGAGTTTATTTTCCTCTGAAGGGGAAAAGAAGATAAGAGCATCTACTACCATCACTGTCAAAACACATTAAATCTAGGAGGCTTAAATCTAAGTTTGATTTGTTTATATTCAAGGAGCAATACAAGAATTGTATACAAATCAACACAATAATGTCAATATCTTGCTCTCAAATTTAATTTGTGCATCATTTTAGAAAACAGTATCTAATTGAAAAGACATTCCAGAAGTCCCCATAAAACTTGGCTTTTAAATCTATAGACTTTATCTTTTTTTTACTTTTTTCAAGATAATTTATCTTTACATTGTTTTTGTAGATTTCCTTGTCTTGTATTTATCAGAACTTTGACTAATACAATACGATAAATATATCATAGATGTCCACTATATATTTCTGTCTAACACAATTCTCTAAATATATCATGGACATTGTGTAACTTTCAGCAGGGATGGATCCAAAGTAGATTGGGATCAATTAAAAGTGATATTATTATTGTGCCAACATTTACAGCAGGGGTCCTCAAACTACGGCCCACGGGCCACTTCCAGCCCGCCAAGGGCACTTATCCGGCCTGCAGAGGAGGAGCACCCTCCCCACACACACAGTGCCCCTCCCTTGGCTGGCTCATGCTATCCATCAGGCCCGATGGACAGCGTGAGCCAGCCAAGGGCAGCTGCTCTGCACGGCCTACTCGCGCATAAAGCACCACAGTCTGAGGGACAGTGAACTGGCCCCCGGTTTAAAAAGTTTGAGGACCCCTGATCTACAGGAATGGCTGCAGCTATAAGGTGGACTTGGGGGCATGAGGGAAGAGAGAAGCCATATAGATTCCCATGAAAGAACTTTATAGTACCCCTTACTGATCCAGAATCTTTTGATTAATAATGTTACAGAAGTTCCATCTCATATTCAAAACAGCAAATCAAGGTTTGTCTAGGTTGGTGAGGGCTTGATCATTACTTGGAGGGCAACTGGTACTTTCATTTTCCCCTGTTGTCTGGGAACCATGTGAGGAATTCCAAACATCAGGCTTGTCTGCCAGCAATTCTCCCTGAACATTTACAGACTCCTCATTTTGAAACCCATCATCCCCCTCATCCTCTGAACATTCAGAAAAATCCTCTGTTTGCCAGACTGCAACAGACCGTGGCTTATCTTCCTTATTGTATTTTGTGAATTCCTCCATTGAAGGGTTGCATGGCATCAAAGTTAAGTTTAGGGTGTCACTTTTGGCCCTTGTGCAATGGCTGCAAAAGGTAATTAGTGTAACTTGGTCTTTCAACATTGTAGTAATTGAACAAGATACCAGCCAGACATTATTGAATAGGAAGTCAGCCAGGACTTATAATTTAGGATGAATTTACACTGTCCTATATCCCAAGATCAGATTATCTGTTTATCCCAGATTATCTGGCAGTGTAGACTCATATAATCCTGTTCAAAGAAGATATTCTGGGATTTTTTAATGTCAGGAGTTGAAAAACTGCAAGTAGCTTCTGGTGTGAGAGAATTGACTGTCTGCAAGGATGTTGCCCAGGGGATGCCCGGATGTTTTGATGTTTTACCATCCTTGTGGGAGACTTCTCTCATGTCCCCACATGGGGAGCTGGAGCTGACAGAAGGAGCTCATCCACATTCTTCCTGGATTTGAACCTCTGACTTGTCGGTCTTCAGTCCTGTTAGCACAAGGATTTAACCCACTGCACCACTGAGGGCTTCTATCAGATCCTGGGATAAAGAGTAGTGTAGATCCTCAGCCATATAACCCAGAATATCAAGGCAGATAATCCACAATATCTGCTTTTAACTGGGTTATATGCGTCCACACTGCCATATAATCCAGTTCAATGAGGATTTATACAGTTGTGTGGCAGGGGACTCAATAGTTTCTTTTGGTTTTGGAGGCCCTATCACTTTTCTCTGCCTTTTTTTCTCTCACTTTACAATTTTTTTTTTTAAAAAAATGTAAACCTGTCACCAAGCTATTTATTTATTTACTTATTTCTATCCTGCTTTTCTCCCATACAACATAACAAGCGGCATACAACATAACAAAGACATATTACATAACATAAAATACAGTCATAAACCCTGACACATGTGAAATTTGCAATTTGTCACATTAAAAAACTACATTTTTGGATTGAAGTCAGATACTTTATACAAAAAAGCTTGCCCTAAATAGGAGATCAAAACACTGATGCCAATCATGATGAGATAAAAGTTACTGAATGGATGCTCACATTGTTTTCAGTGGGTTATGTGAAGCAATCCAGTGCATAATTTGCCCTTGAACTCTTGACTGCAAAGTAAACTCACCAACAGAAAACCCCAAAAAGTAGTAAGTGAAAAGTATTTTGACAAGATGGGTGGTGTTTATGTTTATTTATATTTAGATTGGGCAGATTTCACAGAGTGTGTGTAAGCCTCTGGATGAAGTGGGATATAAATCAAACTAACCAAAGTAAACAAACTCCTTCAGAAGGGAAAACTTTAGGAGATATATAAGAGAAAAAAAAGATGTGAATGTTATGGTTGAAATGTCCCTTCAGTGACTCCAAATGTTTCCAGGATTTTAAAAATCTTCCAAATCTGTTCTTAGTACTGATAAGTCAATTAGATATCCTTGGAATTGTATTGTTTGATGGTCTCTTCTCTTCTCACCATTCCTCTTCTCTCTTTTAGGCTCTATCTAAAGGGTCATTCAGGAACAGCAGGAAAACAGAGCAGCCTGATTCTGCATGGGGCAGATTTTAGTACCAAAGATGCTGACAATGACAACTGTATGTGTAAATGTGCCCTTATGCTAACAGGAGGTAAGCACTGCATACTAAAATAATTCATATTACTGAACAACAACGTATGGATGGAGAGCAGAGGGGAATTGTGCAGCCTTCCAGAGGTTGTTGAACTTCACCTTCCAGCAGCTCTAGCCAGCATACAGCCAATGGTGGGGAATGATAGGAGCTGCAGTGCAGAACATCTGGAGAGCTGCACTGTTTGTATTCTGATGGAGAAATACAGCAGAATTGCTTGAGCAATGAATAATATTTTAATCCTGTTGATCCTGCTCTATCAACAGCTTCATTTGGCATCTAAAAAGAACTTCTCATATATTTTTTTACTCTAAGGTTCTTTTCATTTAATTTTTTATTATAATGTTACGTAAAATGAAAATGAAAGTAAATAAACTCTTTCCAACTCGGGTAGTGTCTCAGAAAATTTATGAGACTCATGATACTTGTGAAATATAATGTATCTAAAACTCTTAGCCTGAGTTTCATGCTGCCTGCTGAGATGACAACAGAAAAATAAAATGAGTAATTTAGGGCCAAATTAAGTAAGGCACAACACATAGTCAAGCAGTGAGATGGAGAATCACAAGAAGTAGTTATGTAGGTAGTTTTCAATGAGGACTGGAATGTTTCATAATCATGAATGCTGATCAGATTAGTATTATATTAGCTTTATATATGGTAGGTCTCTACATTGTAGTTATCAGGAACTGTGAATTGGAAGGTGTAATTGCAATCTTGGAGATCCAACTGTTAGCCCTAACTACAGAATACCCATTGAGTCAATGGGATTTCATAGAATCATAGAGTTGGAAGAGTCCACAAAGGCCACCCAGTCCAACCCCCTGCCATGTAGAAACACACAACCAAAGCTCTCCAAAGAGATGGCCATCCAGCCTCTGTTTCTTTTCTTATATATTGATTCACCATTCACCAACTAATTGAACGAGTCATCTTTCATTGGAACTAACAAATGGGATTCAGGCAATGTATTGCTAACTATGTATTTCCATAAGCAACAGGTTAGTACTGTAAAACAGATTATTGGATTAGAGACATCATCCATCTGATCCAGGAGGATGGCTCTTCCTATATTCCTAAAGTAATGGAGATATGTGATCAAATTTCATGTCACTTAAAAATGACAAATAAAATCAAAATTATTTATATTCAGAGAACTGTTAAGAGTATGCATGGTCTCTCTTTTCCCTCTCAACTTACCCCCCACCCCCACACACATATATACTACTTATTTGACAAGAAAAAAATAAGGATAGTTGTAGGTTCCTCTAGTGAGGAAAATACTTTGCCATATGTGCATTAATGCCCTTCCAGATAGATAGATAGATAGATAGATAGAGTGGAGGGTAGTGCTGCTGATGTACTAACAAGTTCAACAAGGGACTGATTGGATGAGTTGAATCAGAAATCAAGATGCTCAAAAGCTAGGGATGTACAGAATATTCAGAAGTTTTATTATCCTGACTGAGAGGGAATGTGTCAACATTTTGAGAAAACAAGATAGGATAGATAGTAATTTTTGTCTTGTGCATTTCAGGACTCTTGTATGAAAGATTTGCATGTTCATGTGCATAAAACTATTGTTTGTATAAAAAAGGCAGTATTTTTGCAAAACATGACTGCCTGTATTTACTGCCTATATTAGGTGCAAAATCATTTTATGTAGGAAACAACACTTTTGTGTACAACACTTAAATCAAATTTTCACAAAAGTCTCAAAATGCACATACACAGAAAGTCAGGTTATCCTGTCTAGTGAGAAGAAAACTTTTTTTTTCTTATCACATTTGTACACAGCAGGCAAACTAAAAGATTTACATCTGTCACTAATTGAGGGTGATCTCCCCACTATCTGAAGTAACTTCCAGAGATTTAAGTGGGGAAGTTTCCAAAAAAAGTTCGCAAAAAAGGTTTATGGACTTATAAGGAAAAGCTTATAGTCTTTCTTTTCTTTTCTTTTCTTTCTTTCTTTCTTTCTTTCTTTCTTTCTTTCTTTCTTTCTTTCTTTTTTGGTCAGTTGCATGTCTAATGAAGTTGGAATCATTGTTACAGCACCAGTACTACGAAATGTGTTTTAAAATCTCCAAAGAGGATACTATGATATTTATTTTCTATGGATTTGCCATGCACAACCAGCTTCCTGTGAGATAGCACTTTGAAACCATTCACCACAGAGAAAGTTAGAAAGATGTATTCAAATTTTTGGTCACAACTAGCAGTCTGATAAAAAAAGTATCTGTGATAATAACATAATAAAAATAATTCATCTTCAAGAATAATAGTGTCCTTGATTGTGGCAAACTTTATCAGTCATTCTGTTGGTCTTGGCAATTTTTGTAGACAGCTCTTCCATTATAAATTACATAAAACCTACATGACTTGTGTGGCTATCTTGACAGTCTGGGGGATTTTGTAGTCTCTGTGAGCTGAGCAGAATATTCTATGGCAAGGAACAAAAGGAACAAAAGGGAAAATAAGATATGGAAACCAAAATTATCAGAAATAGAAAGCTGAGGCTATATTTAAGGATTACTTATTGTCTGGAAGATATAAAAGTTGTCATAGTGGGTCGCATGAGAAATAGTATTTCTTCTTAGTAGTGCTGGTAGTTCCATTTTGTTATGTAAGATGTCCCTGAAAAGATAGTCAACAGACTGAAAAATATATTTCCTTTGTTATTGTATTTATTTATCTATTTATTATCAGAATATACAATTAACAATTTTTCCAAAAATGAAAAAATAAAAAAGCCATATCTAGGTCGGGAATGTACACGGTATTTAAGAAAAAACATAAACAGATTGCTGACATCTTAATACAGCTTATACATGCCATCATTAAACATATTCGTATTTTGCATACTCTAATCTAAAATAACAATAAATATGACAATAACCTGTTACCCACCTAGTTTTCAACTTTCCCCTCTTGAAAAATGTTATGGTTATACTTCTATTACAATTTCCTATCCATTTATGTAAACTCTGTTTTATTGTTATTCCCATGCTCATTTCTTGTAATTGTGTCCAAGGCAGGATAAGACAAATAGGACCACAGCCCCCTTTGACTTTGCTTACCCAAACAAGCCATGTCCAAACTGTGGAGTTTGACCTTAATTTGTTGACAAACCAAAGACAGGAGAAAAAATATGGCTGACAATTACAATCAAAATTTTAGAAGCACCTCTTTTTTATTGATCTCAAGTTCCATAAAAGAATAAGAGGAAACCCTGTATATTATGATATCTGGGCAATTACACTCTGTTTTACTGGAAGCTTAATCTATTTTATGATTGAAATTGACTAATTGAGAAACTGTTGAACATTTGGTTGGACAACTTTATTGATTTGCATCATTAGCATGCAAGAGAAATTTTCTTGAATTGCTCTTCAGTAATTATGGTATTGGTTTGCATACCGTTTTTGCTGGGAAGAAACCAAATCTCTGTCACAAATTCTGAAGCAATGGCAACCTCATCAATCTTAACAACATGGGGAAGCTTAGAAATCTGACCTGCAGTCACATTATTGTAATTCAACATCCCAGAGTACATTTTTGTGCTTTCTGTGCCCCTTCACTGAAAAGTGTTGAGTTGGCATTGGCACTGCATAAGATGAAGATCCAACCTCTGAGGAGTCATTTGCAATGGTTCATTCAAGCACGAAACTCAGTGCTTTATTAAAAGGTAGAAAATCCTAAGGAAGAATTATGATAGCTTATGAACTGTATAAAATACTTATCCTCTCATGAAGGTGGACCCACTTGTACAGAAGTCCTTCAGTGGAGAATTATAGTGGCAAATTGTTCCTACAAGTATAAATTAAATAATTTCTAATCTAGTGCTGTGTTGGACTTATGAAGTGTTTAAATTGCCTTGTTAAGAAAAAATAACCCCCCAAAGAAAACCCATCTTTCATGCTATTATGGTTGTTTTGAAGTAGAATGGTAATAAATATCACCTTCTGGTCAATACTCTTGACAATGAAAACAGAGCTGAGAGCCACTTTGTGTTTCATCGTCCAGTCTTGAAAAAAAATAAGGATTAGATTTTTCCATGTTTAGCTTTGTCTCAAATTTCTACAGGATTATGCTCTTGTTACAGTCAAACATCAGCTGTACTGCTTTCTTTTTCTTTGGTTATTAGCCCCTTAGGTATAGCTTTGTAATCAAAGAGAGGTCAGCTGTATCAAAATAACCGAATATCAGAATGTATTTGGCACTGTTTCTCCCCCAAAGATTTTATTATGAAGTGTTACTTTAGGAATAAAAAAAATTCCTACAAAGTGTTCTTTTTAAAGAAAAATGCAAGAAATTACTTTACAAGGCTCAAATCATAAATTGTACACTGGTTTAAATGCAAGACTTGCATCAACCTTGCTGCTATACACCAATCGTTATTATGAATGTACTTGTGGTTAAAAAAAACAAGACCTCTTTTCTTTTAGAAAGTGTGGAGAACAAAATCTGCTGACACAATGTATGACCTATATGGGAAATACATTCCACCCCCACACGATATCCATGTTTAATTCTATCTCATCTCCAGAGATCAAATTGGAAGCATTGAACAACAGTGGATTTGGGGAAGTGTACTTCAGGATGAGGGGAAACAGTAAGCATTTCAGTTTTGGAAATCACAATGTTGATCCATGAAGTCAAAGAAACTTCACACCGTCCCACTAACTGTGAGCACTTGACTCGATTATTACTTGGCCTGGCTTGGCCTCCATTGTAGATATGTCTAACAGGTTTACAGATACTGTTATTCACATGCAGCAACCTCCAGTCAACATGGAACAGAAGTAATGGCCACCTTCCATCCCCTCTAGAGAAAAAAATAATACAGTAGAGTCTTGCTTATCCAACCTTCACACACCCAATGTTCTGTAAAACATAATGTTTTGGTGCTTAATTTTTAAAAATCATAACATATTTGATGTTTAATAGGCTTTTCCTTAATCCCTACTTATTAGCCAGCATTTTCACTTATCCAACTTTCTGCCGGCCAGTTTATGTTGGATAAGCGAGACTCTACTATACCATGAACTTTTTTAAAAATGTTGGTCTGGTAGAAATACCTTTGAAGAAGGAGTATGGTATTCATTACAGCTTCACACACAGTAAGATGCATAGAAAAACAGCAAGTTGCTTAAGATCAGGCATGGGCAAACTTCAGCCCTCCAGGTGTTTTGGACTTCAACTCCCACAATTCCTAACAGCTGAGATGAAGAATTAACTACTTTCTCAAAAAATATTAAAACTTGAAATTGAATAATAGAGTTGGAAGAGACCACAGTCCAAGCCCATTCTGCCATGTGAGAATCCACAATCAAAGCACTGCCAACAATATCCATCGAGCCTCTGTTTAAAAACCTCCAGAGAAAGAGACTCCATCACATTTCAAGGCAGTATATTCTACTGCTTGAAACCTCCTAAAGTTTAGGTGGAATATTTTTTCCTTCAATTTCAATACACTGCTCCATATCCTAGTCTGTGGAGCAACAGAAAACAAGCTTGCCCCTTCATCAACATAGGTAACAAAACCAGTGAAGTGTTCATCATAACAAGCATTGTCTTGAATATAACAGCATGATGGTGAAGGTTCACCAGTAACTCTCAATTCAAGACCTTTCATTCACAGATTAGGCTGATGTCCAAGCTTTTAAGAAATTAAACTCTGGCCCATTCCCCCACTGACAAGCCAAATATTGGTTGGGCGGGGGGACCAAATGGTTTGGTTGGAAAATGAATGCCCAACTTTCAGGTTTTGATATCAGAGTAAGCAGGCCACAGGGGGGAAAAAGGTCAATTGGTTTAGCCTACTTCTAGTGGGACTGATCATACCAAATACACTAGAATGTTTTTCATGCTTCATCTGAAACCCTGGTTTGTTAGGCCATTCAAACTGGGTCACTTTGAAACATATTTAAAACCTGTGCAAAGCTTTCCACAGTCTCCCTCAGTCCTGAAAACAAATGCCCTGCAAATGTATAATGAAACAATAGCAGTAAGAATATAAGACAGATGTCAGAATATTTCCTGCTGTCCAAAGGCATAGAAACTTATAGAATGAAAATCAGCACTTTCATTAATTTGTGAAGTATGCATGCTTTCACAATGTTCTGCCTTGCCCATCTGAATACGTAAGTTATGCTAGTAAAATGATACACCGCTTCTCTTAATTTGGTTAGGGATGGTTTAGAATTTTTTGGCTTAATTTCTTTTCAGTGCCATCTGCAATGAAGGAAAGAACTTAAAATGTTTGTTTCTGAATTACTTATTTGGCCATGTTTACCTCTTTAAAGTCTAGCTAGTGGTTATGTATATTTAGACAACTGGGGAGTTTGCAGAAGGCAGAATTTGAGAAATAAATTTTGTGATTTAAACCATCTCTCATTTGTTGCACAAGTTAGGCACATGTTTTAGTTGTTGCCATTTAACACTCAAATGGGCACATGTGTTCAGGATGCCATTTAATACAATGTCTGGAATTCTGATTAGTGTCATATAGTTGTGTAAGTTCCCCTATAGAAGTGGGTAGACATTTTTGCAAAATGCATCCAATTCAAGGATGAAGAATTGGAATTCGGTTTGCAATGGCATTATACCACCAGCACGTTACTGGTTTTCACATCTGTTTGTGAATTCAGTGGTGGACCATTGCAATATAACACAAAGGTAATATAGCACAATCAGTGTGTAAGTTCACATGTAAATATTTACACTACACAACCTGATGTAGGAAGCAAACCATTGTGTTACATCACACAAAAAGAGAGACAGTACATAAAGACATGGGATATTTATATTTCTTACAGCTTGATATTCTTGAGGAAAATATGGGTAAAACTTGTAGAGGATGGGAAGAATCTTTAAAAATATTTGATAAATGGCTGATCCTGCTCATTGTTGGTGTGGTTAATTTTCTTGATGTTTACCCATTCCAGTACTTGTAACGTTGAGTGACCACTCCCACAAACTAAAGAAGCTCGCTTTTTGGAATGTCCTTCTATTTAGTATGAATAAACAGATTTACATGTATAAATTTATTAACTTATGTGATGGAGATAAACCATGTGTGAATCGACTCCCCACCATGAAATAAGAAGCCAGACACAAAGATTGGGTAAACTGCCAAACATTTGTTTAAAAAAGTCAACTGTAATAAATAGTATGATCGCAGGAAAAATCTGAGGACAACTTCAGTTTTGAAGCCCTTACCAAGAAATCATCCAAAATTCGGCCTAATTTATTTATTTTATTTATTTATCGCGTCAGGAGCAACCAGACAGTTGTATTACATTTTTAACAAAACAAACAGACAGACAGACAAACACAAAGTTTGCAAGCTTGGTAGTTGATTAAATGTCCTTTGACCAGTAGCTGGCCACTTGGAGTCCTCTGGTGTTGCCGCAAGGAGGTCCTCCATTGTGCATGTAGCAGGGCTCAGGTTGCATTGCAGCAGGTGGTCTGTGGTTTGCTCTTCTCCGCACTCACATGTCGTGGATTCCACTTTGTAGCCCCATTTCTTAAGATTGGCTCTGCATCTTGTGGTGCCAGAGCGCAGTCTGTTCAGTGCCTTTCAAGTCTTTCAAAGCCATCTTCTATGTGCTGAGTCAGGTTCAGCACTTGCGATGTGCACCTTTTGCCTTTCCTGAAGCCAGCTTGCTGTGGAATCAGACCTGGGTCTATTTTTCCATAATTCTATGCAAAATAAATCTATCCAGAACTTTGTAGAGGTGGCACAACAGAGAGATTGGTCTATAGCTTTTTGGATCATTACGGTCTTTGCCTGGCTTCAAGATGGCTATGACTCTTGTTTTCCTCCAGATTTTTGGGGATCTGACAGGATGCAGTGCAATTGTTCATCAGCTCCTGCATCCAGCACCTTGCTTTTGGACCAAAGGTCTTGATTTGTTCCATCCGTAGATCATCCAGGCCAGCTGCTTTGCCATTTTTACATTTATTGAGAGCCATGTCCAAATCAATAGATGTAAAGGGTTCACGAAGGTTGTTGTTCTCAATCTCTGGTTGTCTGGCTATTCTTTCCTACTTTGGTGGCAAGGTTGGGTTTCCCATTCTGATTTGTTAGGTTTCCCATTCTACTTTGGCTTAATTTGTTATGTATTTTATTCCTGGGACACTTGCTAAGGTGGGGTGGGTTGAGGGAGCAACCTGATATAGATCTAATTCAAGCAACAGGTATTGAATTGTGATCACCTCCTCAGCCTTCTGTTGGGTGAAATACCTGAGGGGAATCGAGCTACTTTGGTTACTCACCCAGGCTGGTCATTTACTGAAAGGTTATTCCAAGGGCACATCCTACCAAGCTTCCAAGAGAGAGCAAATCCCCTGGTTTAGTTCCAAGGGCTGCACCTTTCACATTCCCTCAAACCCCAGAATATAGAAAGGCCATTCTGGAGGCCTGCCCTTAACCCACAAGGGGACTGAGAAGGTGTACAACAAATCAGTCTCCCTTAGTAACCTGCTGGTGAGACCTATTGTTATAAATACCACCCTAAACCAATCCCTTGATCCCTGAAAAACATTATGGAGAAGGGGAGACCACTCCAGGGGGCTGTGGTCCTATTTGTCTTATCCATGGAGGACTTCAAAGGCTACCTTTTGCTATAGCAACTTTGTCCCATGGTGGTGAATTAGCAAATTGTGCAAGATGTAAAATGGATACAAATGCACAGAAAAAGAGTGTTACAGATATACTAATTTTGAAATTAATATGTTAGTCTTAAAAGTGCTCTTAGCCTAGATTCAATTCTGACCCAATGCTCAGGTAACTCTCTGTTGCAGAAATACTTGTACATTATCCATGCTTGGGTAAGGAGGCATCCCAGTCTTTTTCCTTTAGAAGTTCTCATTAAGGCTGGGTGCAGAGGCTGGACAGTGAGATAGGTTGTGAAACAGGGTAGCTGACACAGAACTTGGGTCACTAAGTTGAACTGTCCTTGGTTTGTAGGACAACTAAATAACTTTTTTTTCTCCCTCTTTCTCCTGTGTGAGTGCACTGGTAGAGATGTTCACTCTGCCAGAATTATATTGAGTACAGAGGTTGGATGGCCATCTGTCAGGGGTGATTTGAATGCAATATTCCTGCTCCTTGGCAGGGGGTTGGACTGGATGGCCCATGAGGTCTCTTCCAACTCTTTGATTCTATGATTCTATGATTCTATGATTCTGTGATTCTATGATTTTCTTTCCTTTTTACTGAAACACACAAAAAGGCCTAGCTCTATAATAATAATAATAATAATAATAATAATAATAATAATAATAATAAATGTTATATTGTCAAATCAATGAAGGCTGTTGGCTCCCATGTCAGTTGCCAAGTGAATCTTTTCTGGGTTTTAATCTGATTGCTAAAGGATCTATTTATAATATTGAACTCCCCTTGGATGGGTCCTTTAAAGTTCAGTCACAAACCCAACATGGATTTTCCACCCCATTGAGATGGAAGGTTCTAACTGACAGAAAAGCAAATGGAAGGGGGAATGAAGACATTTCCTGTCTGACATGCCACTTGGTCCAAGGCAATACCTACCGGCAAGGATACTGAAGGTTTCAAGTTTTCCAATCCATCTTTTTTCTCTTTTTTGATGTTTCCATAAGTCCTTTAAATTTCAGAAATTGTATTCTGAATGTTATTTCTTTGTTGTGTTTTAAAACACCATCCCCAAGCTACTCTGGGCATAGACAACTACTTGTGTGGCTCCTTGTATGCCAGCCTCAGAATGTTGTTTATTTGTTTAAGCAAAGCTGAAACTATTGCCTCCTAAGTGGTCTTTACCACTTAGATCCTACACATTCACCAGCCAATTCAATCTTGTAAATGAAACAGAGCTTGCTTAATTCTTATATATGGCCTAATTGTTTTGTTCCTAATTATTTCAGGCTGGTGGTTTGATGCCTGTGGGCCTTCCAATCTCAATGGAATGTTCTACTCTGCCGGACAGCACCACGGAAAAATAAATGGAATCAAATGGCATTACTTCAAAGGCCCCAGTTACTCATTACGTTCCACAACTATGATGATCCGGCCTTTAGACTTTTAAAGACACCAAGCAAAGGCAAGAACAATGTGCAGTATAGCTACCACATTCTGAAGGACCTCCTATGTAACCTTCAGAAGCAGAAGGCGGGAACTTTCTGAAAGGCATGAAATGGCAGGAATCCAGCTCTACTCACATCTGATGTCATAGGCTGCAGAAAATGGACATGAATCACCACCAAACACATGAGGATGCAGAGGAAGATGTGGTTGCTCAGACTAGAGAAGATAACCATTGTGACTATTCAGTGAACAACCTTTCAATTCAGTTGCCACAAAGGAACCCAATAACATTTAGCAGAAACATTTCTTTTCCTTATTATTTTCTTAAACAAAAACTATGAAAGTTATGAGACTACATACAAGGAAGATGCAGTTTTGGAAAGCAAAAATAAATAATAAACCAGAAAGGAAGGGATACTCATCCACAGTATAAAAAGCATTGAATCTATGCAAAAGCACAACTGATATTTATTTTTGTAGGGCCATGTTGCCTTGAAAATGCAAAGATGGCTGTACAAGCCCTTGCCTGCTATCAACAAATATAATTTAGATAGATAACATTTCTTTAATGTAGGATCAATAAGGTATGTATGAGTGATTTCTCATTTAAGCCCATTTCAAATGTGAAACATGTTCCTAATAAAAAGCCTGTGTTTCATGACAGGCAGGAAAAGATAAGAGCAATGTGGGGGGAATTGCCCCGACTGACTAGGGTGCATGTTGGTAATCTGGATAATTGACATAATCCTTCAGCTAGGATTTATGGCATGATAACAAAAGAAGCCAGGAATTTTTCTTTTTGACTGCTACAGCTTTGGACTCTGTCAAACCCAGTCTGAATCTCCCATTCAAAAGAAATTGTTGGTTATTTTAAAAAGGTGAAATAAAGGTTATTTGTATATGGAATTTCCTTTGGAAAATATACTTAAATACAGCATGTATGCAAATGGCATAACCTCATATTTAACTGGATTGGGTTCATTAACCAGCCTTGGGCTTTTTTGTATGTGCACATGTTAGAGTTAATTACTTCTAAATTGCTAGACCTTCGTTTGTTTTCTGTTAGTCATTGTTAATTTGAAAGTAAGCCAAGCAGGGGGCTTATCAGTTCTTTGTTGTGGTTCAGTTACTGTGGAGTATAATAAATAAATATAGGAGAATAAAGGGGATAATTGCAATTATGGATGATCAATACCATGGCCAGAAAACAGCCAAATATAAACACATTAATTTACATAGGAAAGCTGAGCACATGTATAGCTCTCCTGTATTTGAAATTAGTGAGAATTAAAAGTACCTGCCTGTACCCTGTCATATATGTGGGTGTACAAAACCTTGGCCTACAGTAGTTCTGAGAAAGTGGGTTACTATATTTAAACACTGCTTTCTGTTTAAAATGTGTCCAGCATGTGCATCTTTGGAATTTCATGAACTTTTAAAAAATGTATGCTGAGGATCAGTTCAAATATTTGACTCAGACAATAAGGTCTAACCGATGTTTTGGTTTCTGTCTGGATGTCAGAAACATGTGTATGTGTAATGTCGTAGAAATAGAAGGAGACTTTTAGACCAAAGTCAGGACAATGATCCATCTAATTCAGTATCATCTACACTGAGAGGTAATGGCTTTTCAGCATTTCAAGCATATTTCCCTACCTACATAGAGGTATTAGGACTGATTCTGTGACCTTCTTTCTTCTTTACTCTTCCATTATGATGTAGAATGTTCTCTTCACATATGTACAACATAAACAGGTTTTTCAATTATGAAAACTATATTAACTCCATAAAATTTGCGTGGTCCTATTTCTCAGAAAATATCTGACTCACCAATAGCCAAATCATTTCTGATATATTTTATCTAGTCCCATGCATCTCTACACTTTTTCATATGATGGAGCCTCTTTCCATAGGAGAAGTATCTGAACTAACTAAGTTCTATCCCATGAGTTTATTCTCTTCCATAATCTCATTGCAATTTGTTTTCATACAAACTAAATAGCATTTCTTCATTCATGAAAATCCAAACATATAAATCTTCACATTCTCCATCTTGGCATGCAAGGATGAACAAACTCCATAATAAACCACCTACTGTAGAAAATAATTAAAAAGTTCATATAGTTTTCTAGAGGTAGTCACATTGTTGCTTGGGGGATTATTCTATTGTCACAAGTCTTTATGTGCATAATAATCCCCAAAGGATTTCTCAAAAGGAAAAGAATGTTTGCCACCAGATTATTCTTCTGGGTTTCTTGTGCTTTGGGAAACCCATTATTCTACAGGAAATGAATATTAATGAATACTCTCTCCATCCAAGAAAAGTTGTTACTCCATTTTTTCACTGTTCATCCCTTCCATATACATCAGTGAGCTTTTACAGATTGGGACAAAAAAGGCCAATTGAATTGGCACAATCTCACATTTTAGATTAGGATAATTCACTTTCTTTTTTGTCTTGTCAATTTTCCCTTTGTGTCCTGATCTACATGCATCTCTCACAGGAGCAATCTTCCACCCTGTTGCTTTTTTCTACAGTTTTGTAATCTGTCTGTATTTGAATTGATGAAGATTCATACCTAGTAGACACGTGTTCAAAATTTGTTCTTACCATTTCTTTCATGTCTTCCATTTATTCAGAAGCATGAAACAGAAAGTCCTCTCCCCACACAAAACTCAGCTCAACACAAAAGCCTGTGTTCCTCCCACCCTGATAAAGCATGCTTGCTAAGGTCTCGATGTGAGGCTGCCCGGCCATGACTCCCATGTGTGAATGTAGGGTATTGTGGGTGTGAGGGAGGAGGAGGAAGAGAAGAAGCACAGTAGTCATTCCCACACATGCCTGCCAGTGACTGCTAGGCAGCCAAGCACTTCAGGATGGGGAGCCAGTGGGTGAGAACCCCACCCCCCTCATCATGGGCCAATTTTCAGGCCCTGAAATGAAAGAATCAAAAACAACCCTTCCAATTTCAGGAGGCTTACCGAAAACAGATTGGGCCCCATAACGAAGGCCCAGAAATGAAATGGGACAAGCTTTTACCCGAATGAGTGCATTTTTTTTGTTTTGTTTTGATGCAGAAGAACTCTAGTTTGTCCCTAGCTTGAAGGTTCAGGAAGAAAGTCAAATGATATGCCAGTCTCTAATATAATACTCTAAATGGGAAAATATTCTGACATGTATGGTAGTTTTTATATTCTTGCCATCCTATTATGTTGGGAAAGAACATGTAGTTTTTTCAGGCAAGCATTCTGTGAATGCTGTCCCACAGTTATCCTTATACAAAAGCATATGTGCACATACCTATGTATGGTTTAATGATAATCTTGGCATGAGAACATAGGTTCAAACAAAAGTTGAGACTCAATTAATGACATTTGAGAAATATTGATAATTTCTAATTTTGCGTTAAATGCAACTGGATGCCCATGCTTTTAATCCATAGTAGGCAAGTTTCTTCCATTTATGGGAACGAAATGTGCATAGACTTTGTACAGATAATATGAAAGGATACCACAGTGCCACAGCTCCATGTTTCCAAAGTTAAAAGGATCTTTTGCATTTATGTATCTGTATGTATTTCTCTTTTTATCATCCTGCCGAAGGGAGTTAATTAGTTGTGTTCTGCTAGTTAAATTACCCCACTTTTGTTTTGTTCTATTTTGGCTCCGTGGTTCCTTCATATTGCTGATTTCTCCTTCATTCCTGCAGTCTTCATTTCTGTCCAAAGATTGTGGTGTTTCTCAAAAGATGTAATTTTTTTAAAATCTCCAAATGAAGAATACCACTGTACAGATCAAATTGCAAAGGACACAAGTTAAGAATGAGGGGGAGAGAGCAAAAGAATTATCAAAACACAAGCATGATATTTACTGTTTATTTATCTCTGTTTGAACAAATGGGGACATGGTTTCCTATTCTTTGTAATAAAACATTTAAAACACACCAGATGATTCCATCCTTGGTTTGTTTTGAGTATATTTTCTTGTGACATTCTTATTCCTGAAGCTAAACACTGGAAGGGGAAAATCCTAAAAAGAAGACTATTGGGAAGTTCAGATTGACAATGCAAGGAGTGAGAAGGTGAACCTTAAAATATGAACAAATCAAAGTTTACCCTACCCTTTCCTCCCTCCTTTTTTGTCTTTCTTTCACATTAACACACACATAGGTTGATTGTTTCCAGTCAATTGCTTATTGCAGAACCTCAATTGAGATTTGTATTTCCTTTTTAATTATTCATTTTTTTTTACAAACAAAATTGAATGACCCTTTTTCTCTTTAATCATTCATTCATTCACAGTGCTTGGCAGTGACTGGCTGGAATTCATTTCAGTTCTTTTACCAAGAGCCCAGCCATTGTTTCAAATGCATGCTATAAGGTTAAAGGAAATTTTCTTAACATCTCTTGGTAACAGAGTTATCCACATTTTCAAAGTATAATACTTGAAGTATAATACTTGATCATCATACAAATTCATGTCAGCTTGGCTGGGTTTCTTTCCTTCGCAAAAACAAAACAGGACAAAAGTCATAATAAAATAAAACAGGGCACATTAGCCCCTTACAAGCAGTGCTTCATTACTGTGCCAACAATTTAGCATTATAGCTTGGTAGTGAAAGAGAGGACAAGCTGGATTGTGTTAACAAGCCCACATCTTTTATTGGTTTCAGCCCAATATCTCAACATCTTCCAACATCTCAACCTGTGCAGACATGACAAGGTGGCCTCAATGAGACATTCCTTTCATGTCGTGTAAATACCCGCATGCAGACATACGCAGTACTCTATAACCCTCATGCATAAAAAGCAACATTGTGTAATACACATCAATGAGTGTATGTCATTGCACAATGTACTACACAACATCAATGAAAATATAGGATGCACAAACACAAAGTATATCGCTATAAAATGCATGGTTGATGGCGAATTTTCAGAAACATATTAATTCATTCAGTTCTGTCACAAGTTAATTTTGGTGTCCTAGACTGAAATCTTGAGTTTGAAGAAGCTGGGGGTGGCCACGGCCGACAGGGAGCTCTGGGGTTGGCTGGTCCATGAGGTCATGAAGAATCAGAAGCGACATAACATATAAACAACAAACAACAACAGACTGAAATCTGAAGAAGGTAGGCACACATTGAACTATTTATGGTGTTCCTGACATCTTAATATAGTTTTGCCATATTAGCCTAGAAAAAAAATCAACTGAAGAACCAGAAAGCACCATTACAGTGTTATGACTATCCCACATTATGGGACTATTCACATGATGTCAGCATGAACTATTTCTTAAATATGGAGCATGTCACTAAAAAAACAAACACCCTTCTACTTGTTATCAGCATGGATTCTAGGGAATTGCTGACGTAGACTCTAGAGTCAAATGTTTGAATCCCTGCTCAGTCATGGGACCTTGGGCAAGTCATACTTTCAATTGCAAGGGCAAACCACTTCCAACCAAAAAAAAACCACATGGTTTTTTAAAAATCTCTACAAATAAAATTTAGGTACCACAGATTAACAAATTGGTTCCAGAATCTCAGAAGTCTGGTGGAAATGGGTGATGACAAAAAGTTACACCTTTGTAAGTAAACTTCTATAAGAATGCATTTGAATTGGACATATCCTGTTACAGAGTTGTTGTTATGTTACTGTATAGCACATCCAGCAAAGTGTTGGTTGAGCAATGGTACATCAGTCCCATTGAACATCAAGCATTCTTGTTGGTGTCCTGATATACATTTTCATAGCTCAATAACAGGGATTCTTCACACCTATGATACTTAACTAAGTATACATAAAGTTATGTTAAGTAAAAGGTGATATAGAATTCTCTATTAGGATTATTATCAACACTAAGCAACTATAGCATGTAGACCTTCTAGTGAGAATATTTCTGCTTTGAAATATAGTGGAAGCAGTTTCACTAGGCTCATGGAAATGAACAGATACGGCATCTTTGGTGATATGAGAGATATTTGGAGTAGTATCCAAGAGCGTCATTCCAATAGTACAAATTATGAGCACATGGGACCTACTTCTGGACAATTCACAAAAAGAAAGGGAATCTATCAGACCTTCCAGTGGAGCAAAAAGTGGCCCTCTACTGGAGTAGTAGCTTACCACTACACAGAATTGTTGAAGGATAGTATCTTAAGAGTTGGAAGGGGTTGCATGGGCCAGATGTATCCTGTCCCCTACCAAGCACTCCTATAAG